ACTCCAGAAATTCGCCGAAAGTAGATCATCTGGGTACTTTTCATGAATACTATGAATTTGGACATACTACTCTTTTCACATTCGTTTTTTTGCCTACTATATAGTAGGAAAGTGTTAACTACAAACAAAAATGCATACTATGCATTTACGACATGTACTAAACACATTATTTTTAACATAAGAGTGGGTGCAGCCAGTTGTAACTTTAATGTGCAAAGCTTTCGGTCGCTTCCAGTTATTGCATATTCCAAACTGGTATTTCTTATATTATGTTATAAGGAGTGTGGGTAATTCTGTCTTCTACTGGTTCTTATTGATTTAGACCTACACATTAAAAAATAAAAAAAGATTTTATATATATTAGAAGACGCGATAATGTCTGAAAAAATTGGAAGCACCTGGGAAATTTAGAGAGCGCATGCTATGACTGTAAAATATCACAAGAACTTTTTCAAAATTAAAGAAAATATATAAGCATACCAGTTGTCCGGACATACCAGCAATACTGAGTAGCTACCAGGTAAATTTGGTATCCATTGATATATGAACACTCCTGCATTTTTAAGTCAGTTGGGCATGCATCCACTCAGTAACGCTCATTGTTCATCGCAAATGTGTTTTTGAAGCGCTGAAGATAGTAACCAATTGAGAATGTGAACTCAATGGCCGATTATAGGTGTTAGAAGTTAGCACATCCACTTAGAACCATTCAAAACTACTCTTTATTTGCCTTCACTTTATAGTTATCAATTACCGTAATTTCGAGACGACAGCGTGATGTTCTACTCAGACTTGATTCATGCGTTTCTGTGGGAACACTATCACGCCAAAGTGTTCAAATGTTCGAAGAACTCGTAATTTTAATTTATAAACTGGAAACTTTCTGAGAGTTTGGACCATGTGAACGCTGTACCACCTGACCGACGCCAGATTCATTGGTGCCACTGGTGAGATTGAGGTCTCTGCAGAGCAAAAGTGGGCGTTTCTAAATTTGTGGGTGTTTTCAAACTGCAGGGTGTTTCTTACCTAACCCCACCCCTAAATCTACCGTCATTATGATGTCAGCCAATCAGGAAACATGGTCTAAAAACGCCCCGATCTGGTAACTCCCATTACTTTCCTGCGGAGACCTATACTTGCCACTAGTGATGTCCGGTTCGCGAACGAATCGTTCGATTTAACCGGTTCTTCTTAGTGAACCGGTTGAACCAGTTCACCAAATCTGACTGAATCATTTGAAACGGTTCGCGTCTCCAGTAAGCATTAATCCACAAATTACTTAAGTTATTCACTTTTTTAACATGGCTGACACTCCCTCTGAGTCGAAATAAACCAATAACCAATATTAATTTACTCAAACAGTACACTGACTGAACTGCTGTGAAGAGATGTTTTAATTGACTGATGTTATGATTACTGACTTTATATTTGAATGTGTTAAGCCCGCGATAGACTTAACGCCATTACGTTATCGCCAATGACGTCATTACGTCGAGCGTAAAAAAACCGGTGAACCGTTTTTTTCAACCGGTTTATTGAATCGAACTGTCCGAAAGAACCGGTTCGCGGAAAAGAACCGAACTTCCCATCACTACTTGCCACTGGCGCTACCTCCGTGTCCGACGAAAAACTCAAGAGTAGAATGTCACGTGTTCTCATCTCAGAATTACCGTAATTACGACATGGCGTAATTGCAGCTCTTGTTCATAGCAAACACATTTTTTAAGCGAGTGTGAACGCATTGGTCAATCAAAGGTTATTAAGTCAGTGATATATCCACGCAATACCATTAAAAATGTGTTTGTGTTCATCGTAAACTCATGGTTTTGAATCGAGCCGTTAACGGAATCATATCGTGAGGTTCCAAACGATTCCCCACCTACTAGGAAAGTCCATACTTTTGAGTTATTTCTATTGCATATTGACACCTATGTGATATGCGTAAGTGTTAGCAAAAAGCTAAATACAGGTAATCCATTAGTTACTGTTTCTAGGCTGGTATAGGTTACAGTCCCATTACCCTCACTTTTCAACTGAAAATGTTGAAAGGGAACCTTCACAAAGTCATAGCACAAGTCATGTTTTTAGCATGCACTAATTAATAAATCATGGATACTGTGATGCAATGTCGATCGGAATGGAGCGCATGAGCATGTAATGAGCTGATGAATCACATTTGCAGAGTTGAGGGTCTCAAGAACAGAATTTAGAACCACGTGGCTTCATTACCTCTTCTTCCTCTGTAAAGCTGACCTTTTAGGTATGACTCATGAGCACGTTTCCTTAGTGGAAGTATAAAAAGAGAGAGAGAGAATGCATCCTATGTCATCATGGAAGACCACATCTGACTAATGACGAGTGTTGTTGTATTATCAGCATGTGACCTGATGAGTAATGCAAGGCTCATATTTAGCAGCTTTTCTGTCAAAATCAGCTGTTTCTACATAAGTGGATAGTACATAACTTTTTAGATATTAATCTACCCCCAACCCACCTCCACATTCACACAGAATGAAAACCTCAGTATTTCATAGCTCATCAGAGCCTGTTGAGTTACTGTAAACATACATGTTTCACTCTGTACAGCACGCAAATGAAATTCTCACTGCTGATCTGTGCTTTTGGTTGTGGTTGTTGAACAGACGTCCGCCTCCACGACGGCCAGAGAACCAGTGGTGAAGCTGATCGGGTGCAGTGGAGAAGGATCACCATACAGCTGCTCTACTGCACCATGAGGACATGATACCTGTTTCCAAAGGATATCAATAGGATATCAAAGGACCAATCAATTGGATTGGAAAAAAAGTCAACTTAAATTTTCCTATGCGATTTAAAAAAAATTGACCAAAGATGAGATTCTTCTAGGTATTACTCAGTCTTGTTTGAACTGTACTCTCATCTTGATCTGAAAAGGTGCTGACCTTTGTTCTCAGGGATGCACCACATCCTGAAATATATGTACATTCTAAAGTGAAAGGCATTACTGTCATGGCCTCACTTTAAAGTCACTTTGAGTAAAAACTGGCACAACTCACCCCACTTTCCCCTATATGTGTTGATGCTTTAGATACAAAAATCCAAATTGTAAGAAACGTATCAGATTATAATGATGTTTTAATTGACTGATGTTATGATTACTGACTTTATATTTGAATGTGTTAAGCCCGCGATAGACTTAACGCCATTACGTTATCGCCAATGACGTCATTACGTCGAGCGTAAAAAAACCGGTGAACCGTTTTTTTCAACCGGTTTATTGAATCGAACTGTCCGAAAGAACCGGTTCGCGGAAAAGAACCGAACTTCCCATCACTACTTGCCACTGGCGCTACCTCCGTGTCCGACGAAAAACTCAAGAGTAGAATGTCACGTGTTCTCATCTCAGAATTACCGTAATTACGACATGGCGTAATTGCAGCTCTTGTTCATAGCAAACACATTTTTTAAGCGAGTGTGAACGCATTGGTCAATCAAAGGTTATTAAGTCAGTGATATATCCACGCAATACCATTAAAAATGTGTTTGTGTTCATCGTAAACTCATGGTTTTGAATCGAGCCGTTAACGGAATCATATCGTGAGGTTCCAAACGATTCCCCACCTACTAGGAAAGTCCATACTTTTGAGTTATTTCTATTGCATATTGACACCTATGTGATATGCGTAAGTGTTAGCAAAAAGCTAAATACAGGTAATCCATTAGTTACTGTTTCTAGGCTGGTATAGGTTACAGTCCCATTACCCTCACTTTTCAACTGAAAATGTTGAAAGGGAACCTTCACAAAGTCATAGCACAAGTCATGTTTTTAGCATGCACTAATTAATAAATCATGGATACTGTGATGCAATGTCGATCGGAATGGAGCGCATGAGCATGTAATGAGCTGATGAATCACATTTGCAGAGTTGAGGGTCTCAAGAACAGAATTTAGAACCACGTGGCTTCATTACCTCTTCTTCCTCTGTAAAGCTGACCTTTTAGGTATGACTCATGAGCACGTTTCCTTAGTGGAAGTATAAAAAGAGAGAGAGAGAATGCATCCTATGTCATCATGGAAGACCACATCTGACTAATGACGAGTGTTGTTGTATTATCAGCATGTGACCTGATGAGTAATGCAAGGCTCATATTTAGCAGCTTTTCTGTCAAAATCAGCTGTTTCTACATAAGTGGATAGTACATAACTTTTTAGATATTAATCTACCCCCAACCCACCTCCACATTCACACAGAATGAAAACCTCAGTATTTCATAGCTCATCAGAGCCTGTTGAGTTACTGTAAACATACATGTTTCACTCTGTACAGCACGCAAATGAAATTCTCACTGCTGATCTGTGCTTTTGGTTGTGGTTGTTGAACAGACGTCCGCCTCCACGACGGCCAGAGAACCAGTGGTGAAGCTGATCGGGTGCAGTGGAGAAGGATCACCATACAGCTGCTCTACTGCACCATGAGGACATGATACCTGTTTCCAAAGGATATCAATAGGATATCAAAGGACCAATCAATTGGATTGGAAAAAAAGTCAACTTAAATTTTCCTATGCGATTTAAAAAAAATTGACCAAAGATGAGATTCTTCTAGGTATTACTCAGTCTTGTTTGAACTGTACTCTCATCTTGATCTGAAAAGGGGCTTACCTACCTTTTTTTTTTTTTTTTTTTAAGCAGTCGTGGTTCTAGAAGTAGGTTTCTCCATAGATTAAATAAATAAAAATGTTCAAAGTGTTGAACCAAATCAAACCAGCTCAGAATTGCAACATTACAAACTTAGAATGTTGTGTGAATGATGAATGAATCTGAAATAATGTTACAATGTAAAACTATTGACTTGGAGTCATTGAGTTTGCAAATTAAAAACAATATAATTAACTTTTTTTTTTTCCAAACTTTGAAATATTTACAAAGGAATAGAAGAAATAGAGTACTGCATTGATGACTTGCTGTATTTTTGTAGGCCAACCCATAAGTTTGCATCACCCTGGTTCCCTCGACAAAAAACAAATAGAATTTTTCCATTGGCTTTTGGATTACTGCAGAAAATAAGCTCTGTTACCAACAAAAGCGGATTCTTACACATTTGGTTTATCATGAAACTTATCACACATGAACACAACTGAATGTTAAAGCCTAATCACAATCACGACATGTACAAAACTAAACTTAGGCATCACTGCCATTATGCTAGTGAATAGATGAGTTGGTGTGATGACATTTAACGTCCCCAACAACCATTTAACCATTTAATCCCATTTAACCACTTATGTATTTACCTATGTATTTTAAGGCGTTGAATAAAACGTGTGAACATGAGCTTGTGTTCACCACAGACCTTATTTCAACCAAAAACCCATTCAAAAAAACCTTCAGTACGATGGAACCAGAAGGTGTAAAATGCAAACTTATTTCCAGGTTTTGGTCTACAAAAATACATCAGGGGACTACAGGAGGCACGTTCCACTTGACTTTTAGACACCCATTTGCAAACTTTCCTAAGCACTTCCTCTCAGGGGAATCCATGCTGCCATTTTGAAGTGCGTTCCACTTCGTACAGTGGCCGAGGAAAGTTTATATGGACAGGCTGTCGCCCCAACATGATACACAGTTTACTGTATTGATTCTAAGAAATTCAAATGATCAACAGCTTTGGATGTTCCAACCAATTGCAAAGTTCCCAACAGTAGTGAGCACTCTTGCGAGCAATGGCATATATCAGTCAACAAGATGGAGGGAAGTTAGCAAGAGAAGGCCATAAAAAAAGCAAAGTTGAATGCATCCAGGGAGATAAACATGTCATTTGCAGTTGATAGGAGTGGGTGGCTCCAGGACCAGAATAAGATTGCTTGACAAGGAACGTGACCCAACTTGCAAAAGTTGATTTACAAGTGATGACCTGAGTGCCAAATGTCTACTGAATAAATAATGTAAGATGAATATTTGAGTCATTAACTAAGCATCCTGCCTTGTGAATTGTTTCATTGAACTCTCGGGACTCTTATTTATAGGTAGTTTGTAATGAATATGGTTGTACATAATTTTTACAAGGCTTGTTGTTTAATGAGAATATTTGTATATTATTGCAGGGAGATGGAAGAATATAAGAAACACTAACCTACAGATTAACATCTAGAAAACAAATAGATTAATGGCAACAATCTTGAAAGTATTGTTATGAAACAATGTGATTCTGATTCCCACAGTACAGTAATAACTCAATTCATTGCAGTTAGCAATTGACTTGAAATGTAACATCAATAACCCAGATGAGTTTTAAATTCATTTTGCATTTGCACTTGCTATGCCACATACGACTAAGCTGCATTTGTTCCAAATTAGATGCTAATGTACTGTATAATAAACCATTCAAAGCAAAACGTTCCCTTGGATTTTTATTTTCCTGCTGTATAAATCCATAAGAAATGTTAATCGCGCTGTTATTTATTTCAAAAGTCTTATAAATTATTTTAACCAGTGTTTTAAAAGTCAAGTACAAAATTACATTCAAATGTTTCTACAGCACTTCAAGTACATTTAGTGTCCAGCAGTGTTAGCACTCTACAGAAAACTCTTATAATTAAAACACTGAGAAATGGTCAATGGCCAGATTCACTGAGAGCTCCAAACACTTCAATTCTAGCAGAAACTAGAGGGATATTTTTTGGACCTGAGAGTTTCCACATGTCTTCATTTACAGAATCCATTAGTCCAGCATAGTCCCTCTCCAGTTCATCTCTGCTATGTACAAACTCTGTGTTTGTCACTGAATAATCTGCGTAATGTGTAGATCTGGGTGAGGGCCACGCTGACCATGACTAGCAGACTGACACTGGACCAGAAGGAAACCCGCCACAGGTTATCCTCCAGCAGGTAACGGTCACGAGCCTCGAACGCCCGCAACGTCGTCTGTAGCTGACGGCTTCGCTCCAGGTTCTTGTGCACAGCGTCCATTGTGTCCTGTGCGGTGAGAGAAAACATGAGCGAAGCTATAGCTTCCCACAAAACATTAGGAAACATTGCATTTTGGTTGCAGATGATCAGTGCCAAAACTAGAGCTTTAAGGAAAATTTTATCTGCAAATAATTTTCTTAACTGCATTCAACCATTTCAAAAATGTTCTGGAAATAACGTGAAAATACTGGCAGCTGTTCTTCAACTTTAACCCTACTGTAAAATATTTGGTATGCAAATTATCAAAATGATCAAAACATAACCTGAAACCTGAAAAACCTGTAGTACACAATCTACTACATGCCTTCTGTTGTCTGACTGATAGCTTATACTTGTTAGCAAGTAAAAGGCCTTTTAGTGTAAAATCATCCACTTTCAGGTTGTGATCATATTTGCTAATTTTTTATTAGGGGAACTTGAGAATAACTTTTATATTGTTAGTAATATTTCAAGATGAACACGCACTGGACTGGCTTCCAGTTTAATCATGTTAAAATTTTGGGGGAAAACTCAATTTGATCATAAAATTACAGGTGCATCTCAATAAATTAGAATGTCGTGGAAAAGTTCATTTATTTCAGTAATTCAACTCAAATTGTGAAACTCGTGTATTAAATAAATTCAATGCACACAGACTTAAGTAGTTTAAGTCTTTGGTTCTTTTAATTGTGATGATTTTGGCTCACATTTAACAAAAACCCACCGATTCACTATCTCAACAAATTAGAATATGGTGACATGCCAATCAGCTAATCAACTCAAAACACCTGCAAAGGTTTCCTGAGCCTTCAAAATGGTCTCTCAGTTTGGTTCACTGGGCTACACAATCATGGGGAAGACTGCTGATCTGACAGTTGTCCAGAAGACAATCATTGACACCCTTCACAAGGAGGGTAAGCCACAAACCTCCATGCCATGCCGAATTGAGGCAGTAATTAAAGCAAAAGGAGCCCCTACCAAGTATTGAGTACATGTACAGTAAATTAACATACTTTCCAGAAGGCCAACAATTCACTAAAAATGTTTTTTTTATTGGTCTTATGAAGTATTCTAATTTGTTGAGAGAGTGAATTGGTGGGTTTTTGTTAAATGTGAGTCAAAATCATAACAATTAAAAGAACCAAAGACTTAAACTACTTCAGTCTGTGTGCATTGAATTTATTTAATACACGAGTTTCACAATTTGAGTTGAATTACTGAAATAAATGAACTTTTCCATGACATTCAAATTTATTGAGATGCACCTGTACATGTTTAAAGCACTAGGCCTAGTAGTCTCTTTTGGTGTTCTCAGCTCTCACTGATGTACATTACAAGCTATCAGAATTTCATCTTTTTGGCCATATAAATATTAGCAACTGGACCAAATTACACATTGTTGCTCAGTTTGAGCTCCATATTCTCTTACATCATATTATATGAGCCATAAAGGCTTGGTATATTAAATAATACTCCATTTTTTCCCTACTGTTAAACAATTGATTTTGCTGACTATTATTTCATATGTCAGGTCTTGCAGAGTTAAGAAACCTTATAGTGCCAATATAATGTACGGTTTGTTTACTACAAAAGCATATCTGTCATCTTATGTACTGTATGTGGGATGAAAATGGTATCAGAACCTTTTTAGAACTTAAAGCATGTTTTCACAATGCAGCTGTGCTTGCCGAGTTTTAGTACTGATTTGATATTTATCATGCACATGATCCACATGTACATCCTACAATACTAAGAACTGTAAACTATAGGCAGATGAATGAAGTGCCATGTGATTTGTGTACCCTGATATCCTCCAGTTTGTACTCCAGCGAGTCCTCTGGTTCAGCGAGAGCAGCCCAATCTTCATCGTCCTCATCGTCCTCCTCTGGTCCATCCACTATCACCTCCACGTACACCATCTTCTCTGAAATATGGCTGAAGCTGTTGTCAAAGCAAATCCTGTAGTCGCCCTCCTCAGTGGGGTCCACCCTGACAGCAAACCCCCAACACACACAAAGCAAGATTACTATAATGCACATGTCTTGACTTTGAGTAATATTGTGGAATATTAGATCAAAAAATACAATCCACACAATAGAAGTCAATGGTCACTTAAACTGGTAACAAATATTTTTCAAAATATCTTTTATGTTCATAGTCAAACCTGTGGAAGCTTATTTCTGGATTAAAACGATTTTGACTTGTTTCCTTGGAATTCTGACTTTACATCTCTAATTTCTGAGAAAAAAAGTCAAAATTGCAAGATATAAAGTCAGAATCCAGAGAAACAGTCAAAAGAGTGAAATGTACATACAAAATTCAGAGAAAAAAAATAATTAAAAAATTGTCAAAAAAAAAGTGTAAATTATTCGATGTGAATTCAGAATTCAGGAAAAAAAAGTTAAAATTGCGAGATTGTGAACTCAGAATTCTGAGAAAAAAGTCAAACGTACAACATTTTAAACTCAGAATTTAGAGAAAGCCAAAATTCCTAGTTTATAAACGCAAAATTCCAAGAAAAAAAGTACAAATTGCGAGAACTCAAAAGTCAAAATTATGAGATGTACACTGAGAAATCTGAGGGAAAAAAAAGTCAAAATTCCAAGTGCAAGTTTTTAACTCGCATTTCAAAGTCAGAATTGTGATATAAAAAGTCGCAATGACCTTTTTAATAGTTTTATTCTGTGATGGAAATAAGCTTCCATACAAACCGGTTTGGAATGACATCAGAGTAAATAATAACAGAACTTACATTTTTGAGTGAACTAACCCTTTAAGTATGCTTTTAAACGCTTTACTTTTCATTTGACAACCTGGTAAAGCAACCAATTCTGTAAACAGCAACGGTTTTCTGTAAATTCAGTTGTGGTCACTGTCAGCCCTGCAGCAGCAGACGGCATGCAATTTTGCAGCAGAGGACATGCAAATACTGTGGGTTATGACAGTCCAAAACTATGAGTAAATGTTTCAGCTTTGTGCACTATGGGATGTGAAGCTTACGTGTGTATGCCATCTGATTTTCTGAAGTCGGAGACCAATCTGTATCCGTTTGGGGAGATCAGAGTGAAGCCGACGTCCAGCCCTGAGCCTGCAATGACCTGTTAATATGGGTTAATGGCAGGGTGATTGATAAATGAAACAGCATTCACAACCCACATTTTATTTCTGTAATGTGACATGCATCCGAGTGCAACAGGATAGTCAATGAGGGCAAAAATACACATATATAAATTCAAATTTCAAATTAGAGGTCTCCTATCTTCCACAGACTGATAAAGCAGCCCACTGAGGAGTCAGTGTGCCGTTACTAGAGATAAAGTGTGGCAAACAGTAACCATGTAGCACTAGAGAAACCGTAATCCTTCCAGCAGATGGAATGAGCTTTGGGCCGGGTCAGCTGTCTTGCAGCTGTGCCTGTTTTTAACGTAAAGCGGGATGGCTCCACAAACACACCCCAGACATGTGGTACAGTGAATCTTCAGAGAAAGGTCACAACACAGGGCTGGACTCGAATAACTAAAAGACAGTAGCTTCTGTGAGTAAACAGGACTGAATGAGGATTGCTTAACTCCTTAGTATTCAATTGACTTTGATGTCAATAATATTGAACATCCCACCAGAGCTGTAGAGAAGAACCACAAACATGAAACCAAACCATACACACACTGTTCATGTTATATTAGTATGTGATCCTCACAGGAGACTTGTGACTTGATAAGTACAGTCATTCATATAAATGCACTTTGACCAAAACATGCACCTGTGAAAGGAAATGTCCTGCTACTTCCTGGTCATTATTGTCAAGCAAAACTGCAATGTAATGCAGTAGTTAATAAGAATCTTACTAATAAATAATATTTAAAAAATGATAAAGCAAAAGTTAGAACACAAACAACTAGACAGTTTACTTCTCAAACTTGCTGACTGGTGTGGCCTCTCGAGTCATTTCAAATAGGTTATCATTTTAAATCATTGAAATTAAATAACTGAAATACTTTAAATGTTTTATTGACCTGGTACTCCACTTCCATGCTGCCGTTCTTAGTGGCTGTTTGGAAAAAGCACTCGGTTGCTCCGGGAGGTAAAAGGAAAGTGAACTCGGTGTCCTTATTCTGCCCGAAAGCGAATCCCAAATCCACGCTGAGCGTCAGAAAGAGCAGCAAACACACTACGAGACGCGTCTCTTTACACCGCTCCATTACTTTGCTCTTCAGAAACACACTAGAGCAGCTGTTTCAAACAGCCCGTCTGCACTGCGAGCGGCGCGACAACGCTAGGACGCTATCATTGCCTTCTACACTGCAAGAACATTGTTTGGACTCTTGTGAACTTGCGGTGACAATCAGCCGCGCTTTAAGTTTGATAGCTTCGCTGATAATGAACGCGTAGTAGTTTCCCCGCGTCGCGTAAAACGCGCAAACAGCCTCGTTGATTTGTCCACTGGGTTGCGACGTCAAGATTCAACGCGCGCCTGTGTCGTTGCGTCGCAGTGCAGGAAACATTGCAGTTGTTTTGATACCTTTATCTCAAACGGTGTCAGAGTTTAATTAATTTATAAGTGGGCACAGTATATAAAACATATGAACAAATATGGTTTCAGCAGGTGTTGTCGTTTAATGGATTTATATTATTGCATACATTAAAAGTTGTAAAATTACTATAAAAAAACATAAAATTGTAATTCCAAAAACGGAGCTTTATGCGATAACAGGTATGTTTTCCCGAACATGTTAGTATTGGTTTTATATTATAATGTCACGTAGTTAAATTGTTTAATTAATTTAAATGTTAATTTTTTTTTTTGTTTTAATTCCTAGAAATTAAGCCTTGTGCAACATAAAGGGCATATGTTTATGTCTATCTGAGTTAGTTTGGGCTCAAAACATAAAAGCTGCAAAGAGTTTAATTGGCAAAAAACCCGAATGTCTAATGAATGTCAAACATCAAACTAACTTTACCACCGTATCATCATAATGGTGTTATAAGGTTCAGTTTTTCTGTTATAAGACACGTTTGTCTATTTGTATCGTACTCTATGAGAAGCTGGTAGAAGTAGCTAAATCTGGCCAAAGTTTCTGAGCGAGCACATATGTCGTAGTCATATGTTTTTCGTAGTCTAATGCTCATTTTAGAAGAAAATTTTAGATGGCACTTAGAGGCTTTTGCATCTGAACTCTTCAAATATTGTTGCAATTTTTATTTTGTTTCATACATCATGATCAACAATCACCCCAGGAACTAATTTTGATGATTATACAAATCCTGATATTATAGGCCATGCTTGCTTGGCTTTGAAGTGAATTGTGAAGTTTGTCAAAGAATGACAACACTGGACTTATTAAAGGGATAGTTCACTCAAAAATAGAAAAGTTGTTATCATTTACTCACCCTCATGTCGTTCCTCACTTATAAGACATTTGTTCAACATTGAAACACAAATGAAGATATTTTAAATATTCTCTCATAATTTTTGTCCAGCCTTTGAAAGGCCACACAGCTAAAATTTTCATTTTTCTGAAGAGACACAATCACTTTATATGATGACTAACTTAAATTTCATCATCAAAATGTTTGCTTGACACACAAGAACCAGTAAGTGTTGCTCTTGCATGTCAAGTAAGAACGTTGAGCTGATACTCAAATTGTAATTATTTAAGGTTTTTAAGGGTTCACTTTTATTTAAATATACATTATCTATGTATCTCTAAACAGAAGTCCATGGTAAGACCCTGCTAGATAAATGTGTGTAAATACTACTGTAGTCTATCAAGGCCTTGACACATTGAACAGACGGTCAGTCGTCGTTTAGCATCTGACAGCTCAGTTTTTGCTGTGTCTTCCACACCATCATCAGTTGTTTAAATTGATGTCAGGCAGTCGGCAACATCATTTAAGTGCATCATTCAACAACGTCCATAGCTGGAGGATGGAGGACAGAAATGTCTGGACTTCAGCATTGGTCCATCTTTAGCCATCTAAGTGACGTGTGGCTAAGTAGGGTGTCCCATTCCTGGAATGTATGCTCTGCATTTAACCCATTCAAGTGCACACACACACCATGAGCACACTCGCAGTGGGCAGCCATTTTTGCTGTGGCACCCGGGGAGCAGTTGGGGGTTCGGTGCCTTGCTTAAGGGTCTCACCTCAGTCGTGGTATTCAAGGTGGCAGAGAGCACTGGTCATTCACTTCCGCCACCCACAATCCCTGCCAGGACCGAGACTCAAACTTGCAACCTTTGGTCTACAAGTCTGACTCTCTAACCATTAGGCCACAAATGGCAGATGCCAGTGTTTCGTATGGCATGCATTCTGCCAATCAGTGTTCAACCAATCAACTTCCTGCAGTGCGAACATGCCAAAAAGTGGGTACTTCCGCCAATAGTTATAGGAACCCTAAAAAAAACAAAAAAAACTAAAGCGACTAAAGCAAGCAAACAAACAAGTCAGGAGTGCACAGATATAATGATTTTAATGTTACAACTTCAGCTCACCTGAGCATTACAATATGCAAATATTTTAATAACGACATGGACATTTGTAATGAAGAAACTGAAAACCATTTGAAATGATAAGGAAGCGATGATGTTTATGGTTTGTATAGACACAGTCCTAGTTTCACCAAAGCCAATAGAAGGCAAGCCTGCAACCATTAGCCAAAAAAAGTGTAACGGCTGATGCCAATGGAAAGGAAACCAGAGGCCGTTTTTTTTGAATGGATGTCAATGGAGGAGAGGCTTCACTATGCTGAATAAACAGCTTTTAAAGGGTTAGTTCACCCAAAAATGAAAATTCTGTCATTAATTACTCACCCTCATGTCGTTCTAAACCCGTAAGACCTCTGTTCATCTTCAGAACACAAATTATGATATTTTTGTTGAATTCTGAGAGCTCTCTGACCCTCCCATAGACAGCAAAAGAAAAAAAATAACGACTTTATTCAACAATTCGTCTCCTCCACGTCACCCTGGTGCCATTTTGGAGAATATCCATTGAACGTAAACAGCGTATGCTATTCTGTGTCAACTGCGCCACAAGGAGACGAATTGTTGAATAAAGTCGTTATTTTTGCTTTATTTGCATACAAAAAGTATTCTCGTAGCTTTGTAAAATTATGGTTGAACCC